TGCCAATGAATTATATATTAAATAACAAATAAAAAAAATTTTCATCATTTTCTACATTGTATATATACCCATATCTTTTTGATACACACGCACACATGCACATGCATGTACACACGCACACGCACGCATATACTTAACACACACACACACACACACACACACACACGCGCGCGCGCGCGCGTGTGTGTGTGTGTGTGTAATGATACATCTTTAATGTTAATAATTATTATTTTTCTTAAAGCCAATTTGCCAATAGTCTATGGGAATTATCTTTATACTTCAGCGATGATCCAGAAATAATGGCATTTTTAAATAAGCTTATACATGCTTTACAAGAAATGAATAAGTATCATACTATTTTATTAGATCAAGCTTCTAGGACTGTGATGAAGGATCTTAATAATTTTATTAAAAGGTAAATTTTACACACACACCGATTTTCAAACAAAATTGACAAAAGTTCTATGAAATTCTACAAAATTTTACGTCAATCTTTCCTTAGCGATATCAAAAGAGCAAAAGAGACTCGGCATTACTTTGAAAGAATTTCCAGTGATCTTGATATTGCACTGAATAGGAATTCTCAAGTACCGAAATCTCGGCCTATGGAATATGAAGAAACATCAAACATCCTGTCGGCTACTCGATCATGTTTTCGACACACTGCTTTAGATTATATTCACGCTTTGACAATGCTGCAGGCGCACAAGCGACACGAGATATTAGGCACATTATTAAGTTATATGCATGCGTGTATTACTTATTATCATCAAGGTAGCGATCTTGCTCAAGATTTAGATCCTTTTCTCAAAGATCTCGATGAAAATTTAATTCAGATGAGAGGTGATTCGAATAAACTCGAAAAAGAAATGGAAAATCGTCATATTTATGTTAACAATCGAGATTTGATTCCTTCTCTGGTACCTGGCAATTCCAAGATGGAAGGCTATTTATTTAAAAGGACTAGCAATGCTTTTAAAACTTGGAACAGAAGGTGGTTCTGTTTGAAGGATCATCAACTAGTATATCGAAAAAGAATAGGTGACGAAGGTTATACAATTATGGAAGAAGATTTGCGATTATGTACTGTAAAACCTGTAGTTGATTGCGACAGGAGAAATTGTTTTGAAGTTTTAAGTCCGACAAAGTAAGTAGATACCAGTTTCCAATTTGTGTAGTAATTACTATAATACAACAAAAAGTAAAAGTTAAATTTTTCATAAGTGAATAAAAAATTAAATTTCCATTTTCTAGAAGTCATATGCTGCAAGCAGACAGCGAAGAATCGTATTTGGCGTGGGTAACTGCGATGCAGCAGGCCATTGGCGCTGCTATTCAAAGAGGCATGAGTGTAGTTGCCAATATTAAGCCACATGAATTACAATCACGTGATAGTCCTGCAAGACCATTGACAAGACTAAAGTCAAGGTGAGTATTGATACTTTTTATGCTGTCGATTTGTATTGAAGAGATGAGAGTATTTTATTACAAGTTATTATTTTGAAATTTCAGAGTGTGGGAACAGTTATTAAAAATCTCGGGTAACGAGGTTTGCTGTGATTGCGGCGATGTTAACCCACGATGGGCTAGCATCAATCTAGGCATTACGCTTTGCATAGGTAAGCTTTACTCAATAAAATGTACATATTACTTTTAACACGATGTGACTTGATATTTTTCACGTTTATCTAGAATGTTCTGGTGTACATAGAAGTCTTGGGGTACACTACAGTAAAGTTCGATCCTTAACATTGGATGATTGGGAACCAGAAATACTTAAAGTAATGGCAGAATTAGGCAATTCTGTGGTAAATAGCATATACGAAGCTCTACCTGTACCTTCCAATATTACTAAAGCTACACCAAAATGCAATGGGTATATAATGTCATGATAAATTGATCAGCTATCTCCTGTTTAATGGCAATAAAAGAAAATCTTACAAAAAATATTTACATTCCCTTTTCTCTAGTAACGTTCGAGAAGCTTGGATAAAATTCAAATATGTAGATCGTAAATTTGTAAAACCTCTGACTGATGTAATACCAGCTGGACATCACGCTAGTCGCGAGCAAATGCGATTTCGAAAATGGAGTGTGCGTAAATTACGTCGCAGACCACGCAGTTGCGATAAGATCGATAATAGTAATGGCAGTAAAACGTTAACATTATTACCTGTCAAAGAAACGTACCCTTCAACGAGCTCGGACGAAAGTAAACATACGTCAATCGACAGTTTGAATTCCGTTGGCAAAACAAAGAAAATTGAACGAAATTCCGTAAGCTCGGATGATAGTGCTAATGTAGATTTGAAAAACAATTCTACTCTTTATGGAAAGATCTTAAATCGTTCGCAGAACGATTTGAATGAAATTAGTAAATATGTTAAAAGTACAACTGCAACTCGTGGAGAAGTCGCAAGTGTCGAGCCGCTTGCAAAAGAGCTTGGTTCGATGGAAAGCGAACTCAATACTGAAATAGTGAATATTAATACGTTTTTAGTCGTCGAATCGGACGACAGTTTCAATAAACATACCAATGATAAAGTCAAGGACGATAATAAAAACATTTCAGGAAATAAAGATCTTGAATCAAAGAAGCACTATAACGAAAAAGTACAATCAGCTGTCTTAATGTTTGGTTGCGATATACCAAAACCTTCTATCGATAACAATTTAGAACTAAGTTCTGATCAAGATTCAACGGCTGGTGAGGATGAAGAATTTACTGATGAAGAAGATATAGAAAATCTGCATCCTGAGATGTTGCTTTACAAAGCTGCAGCAGCACATAATTTACCAGTAATGTGTGCAGCATTAGCGGCCGGTGCTGATAAATTGTGGTCGAATGTTAATGATAAAAGCCGCAGTTCTCTACATCAAGCGATAATAAGTGTATGTACGATATTTTGTATAACGTGAGCGCATGCACAATGTATAATTTTTCTTTTTTGTGAATTACATTTCATACATTTCTTATATCATTTCTGCAAGAAACATGCTTCAAAATATACAAAATGTGTAAATTAATTATATGTATTTTCTTGTATGCAGGGTTCCGTAATGTCA